CTTTAGGTACAGATAGTTAAGAATCCATTAAGTCAACATCAGTCAATCTGCCCATAACTTGAGCTTCCAGCCTTTCCACTTCAATATGTTTCTCCCATCACAGTTAAGAACATCCATGTTTACTTGGATCCAAAACTTGGGAGGCACATCATTAACTTTTCTTTTTCTCTCACTTCCCATCCATTCTTGCAGCAAATCCAGTCAGCTCTCTATGCAAAATGGATCCAGTGTTTAAATGTTCCTCATTCCTTTCATAACTACATTCTTGTCCAAGTCACTATCACTTTTAAAAAATACAATTTAGTGATTTTTAGTATATTCTCAAAGTTGTGAAGCTATCACCACTATCTAACTCCAGGGCATTTTCCTCACCCCACAAAGAAACCCCATACCCTGTGCATTAGCATTTACTCACCATTTTCCCTTTCCCCAGCCCATGGCAGCTGCCAGTCTACTTTCTGTTTCCCTAAGTTGCCTTTCTAGACACTGTATATACATAGAATCATACAATATGTGGCCTTCGTGTCTGGCTTCTTTCAGATAGCATAATATTTTCAAGGTTCATCTATGTAGTAAGAATCGGTACTCCATTCCTTTTTATGGCTAAATAATATTCCCCCTTGTATGGATATACCACGTTTATCCATTCCGTGTTTGTCTTTGAAATAATGATTGGAGTTAGTCTGAAATGCACTTTGGGCTGAAGAGAACAGAAATGTAAACACCTGAGATCATAAGAGAACATGGCATTTTGGAGGAATATATCTGATTTAATATGCTTCAGTGAAGAAATGTTTTAAAGAAAAGAAAGCAATGGAGAGAGGGAGGGCAAAACAACTGAACTGTTGTTAGAATCCACAGTCTATTTTAAAAGGTCCTGTAGGGACCTCCCTGGTGGCACAGTGGTTAAGACTCCGTGCTCCCAATGCAGGGGGCCCGGGTTCAATCCCTGGTCTGGGAATTAGACCCCACATGCATGCCGCAACTAAGAGTCCACATGCCACAACTAAGGAGCCTGACTGCTGCAACTAAGACCCGACACAACCAAATAAATAAATATTTTTTTTTAACCCCACAAATTTATTTAAAAAAATAAAAGGTCCTGTAGAGGACCAGATGGCTTCACAGGAGAATTCTACAAACCCCCCCCCCTTTTTTTTTTTTGGTTTTAATTAATTTTTTTTATTGGAGTATAGTTGATTTACAGTGTTGTGTTAATTTCTGCTGTACAGCAAAGTGAGTCAGTTATGAATTTTACCAAACCTTTAGAGAAGTGTTAACACCTATCCTTCTGAAACTATTCCAAAACGTTGCAGAGGAAGGAACACTTCCACACTCATTCTATGAGGCCAGCATCACGCTGATATGAAAACCAGACAAAGATATCATAAAAATAGAAAATTACAGGCCAATATCACTGATGAACAAAGATGCAAAAATCCTCAACCAAATACTAGCAAACCGAATCCAGTAATACATTAAAAGGGGACTTCTCTGGCCCAGTGGTTAAGACTGCACATTTACACTGCTGGGGGTGCAGGTTCGATCCCTGGTCAGGGAACTAGTAAGATTTCATATGCCATGTGGCGCAGCCAAAAAAAAAAAAAAACTCAGAACGTTAAAAGGATCATACACTGTGATCAAATGGGATTGATCTCAGGGATGCAAGGATTTCTCAATATCTGCAAATCAGCGTGATACACCACGTTAACAAATTGAAGAATGAAAACCATATAATCATCTCAATAGATGCAGAAAGCTTTTGATAAAATTCAACGTCCACTTATGATAAAAACACTCCAGAAAGTGGGCATAGAAGGAACGTACCTCAACATCATAAAGGCTGTATATGACAAACGCACAGCTAACATCATACTCTATGGTGAAAAGCTATAAGTATTTCCTCTAAGATCGGGAACAAGACAAAGATCCCCACTCTCACCACTTTTATTCAACATAATTTTGGAATTCCTAGCCACAGCAATCAGAGAAGAAAAAGAAATTAAAAAATACAAGTTGGAAAGGAGGAAACTGCCTTAAACTGCCACTGTTTGCAGATGACATGGTGCTGTACATAGAAAATCCTAAAGACGCTACCAGAAAACTACTGGAGTTCAGCAGTGAATTTGGAAAAGTTGCAGGAAACAAAATTTACATACATGAATCTGTTGTGGTTTACATATATTTATATACACATACACATATACGCACAATGGAATACTAAGTCTTGAAAGAAATTTTGCCATTTGCAGTAACATGGATGAACTTGGAGGGCATTATGCTAAGTGAAATAAGTCAGACAGAGAAATACAAATACTTTATGATATCACTAACATGTGGAATCTAAAAAATACAACAAACTAGTGAATAAAACAAAATATAGGCAGACTCACAGATATAGAGAACAAACTAGTGTTTACCAGTGGGAGGGGGAGGTACAGACTGTTGTGTGTAAGATAGACTCAAGAATGTATTGTACAACATGGGGAGTATAGCCAATATTTTGTAATAACTGTAAATGGAAAGTAACCTTTAAAAATCGTACTAAAAATAAAAGGTCCTGTAAGAAATTTGGATATAATTTTAATATATATTTATTAAAATACTCTCTAGTTCTAATTTAGGGTTTTTTAAAAATTACTTAGCATACTAAATCTAATTGTAAGATCGAAACAGGAGAAATCCAGATGGGTAGTTTTCTGTTTTCATATAATGGCTATTTTAGGTTTGCATTTTAATACTGTAGCCAGGCTAGAAGCCTTTAGGGGAGTTCTTAATTAATTTTTCTGCTAAATTTTTTTGTTGCTTAGAGTAGTGGAAGTAATTGACGTGGATTTTCTAGCAATATTGGCACTCTTGTAATGTTCAGCTTTTAAAAATAGGTATAGTGAAATACTTCAATATTTTTTTCAGTTCCCAGCATGACCTCAAAAAATAACAAATGGGTTGAGGTCATGCAGTTCCCAGCATGACCTCAAAAAATAACAAATAGAATTCTCAGTGAAATATCATAGTAAAAGCATTAAGTGGATAGAGGCTTAGGTTAGAGTCAGGTTGGTCTACTGAAATTCAGAGATAGAAACTTAGCCAAAAATAAATTTATTTAACATATCTAGGTTTTAATTTTCCTTTTTTGTGAAGTGGATGTAGTACCAGACATGATCTTGAAAGTGCATCTAATCTGACCTTCTACTATTAGGTAATTAAAATCCTAAAACTATTCATTTTATTGTATATGCTAATGTGATAGTTATATATAAACATGTATTCATTTCCATGCACAATATTTTTAATACGTATAAACCTGTGCTCATTGTCATACACAATGACAAAATGGTTGTCATTTTAATTTCTGAAAGATGTCAGTCGCTGGCAATTGTATTACTTTCTTTGGAAGCCAATTTAATAATACTTGAGAGAATCTAGTCTTTTATACATAAGGAAACTCGGGGCTAATGAAGATATATGACCTGTCCAGGGGTACATCGCCATTTAGTTTAGGAACAGGGATTCTATTCATTCATTAAACATTTTTTTAGAGCCTACTTCATAAGGCAGCTAGCACAGAGGTGGAAACAGAGGATAGAGGACATATGTGGCATGACAGATAAGAAAACAAGTAGTTTCATCTTAATACTAACTACATAGAATTAGAGGTGCATGCACAGTGCTTTGATGACACAGATGGGAAGATCATGGTGCTGTTTAATTAACTTAGTAGCAGATCTAGAACTAAGTTTCTCAACTCTTAGTCCAGGGTTTCCTTTTTATTTTCACTGTTACACCCTGTTTATCTGAGCAGGAAAATATTTAAATTAGTTTTCTTGTTTGTAAGTGGCATTAAAATTGACCATACTACACCTGCGGATTTGGTAGAAAAAACATAATTTGTAGATTGGTATCTTATTTATTTGGAATTTTCTTGTAATTTTTATTCAAAATGAATTCCCTTCCTGTAGTTGTAAACTCTAATTGACAAAGCAGCATCCATAACTTAAAATTTTGGGTTTTTGAACTGTGTTAGTAGACTTCCTTAGCAGTTTCAAATATTATTCTCTCTGTAGGTGGAAAAGAGTTCTTATTCCCATATGAATCAAAAACTTGAATCATTTAGTTTAAAAAAAATTCTTCTTCAAGCAAGTTTTCCATTGATTTTATACTCCCTAGACATTGCATAGTATTTAAAAAAAATTATCCAACTTAGCTTTTTGTTTAATTTTTGTTCCTATTGTTCTTTTTAACCAAAGAGATTTGCATTGCCATTCAAATCAATAGAATAGTCTTAAGATTCCTCTTTGGGGAAGAGTTTATTTTAATATGTATTCATTCCTAATAGTTAATTTTAAAATTTAAGGTTAATTAGGGTTAGCTGTACTAGTGTTTTTTTTTTTGTTTTGTTTTGTGGTATGCGGGCCTCTCACTGTTGTGGCCTCTCCCGTTGCGGAACACTGGCTCCGGATGCGCAGGCTCAGCGGCCATGGCTCACGGGCCTAGCTGCTCCGCGGCGTGTGGGATCTTCCCGGACCGGGGCACGAACCCGTGTCCCCTGCATCGGCAGGTGGACTCTGAACCACTGTGCCACCAGGGAAGCCGTGTACTAGTGTTTTTTGATGTTCTTAATATGTTTTTCTTTTTTCAATTTTAATTTCTAATAGATATATTCTGAAATCTCTTTAGAACAGAAGAAAGATTTTTAAAATTTTATTGAAGTATAGTTGATTTGCAGTGTTGTGTTAATTTCTGCTGTACAGCAAGGTGACTCCGTTATACATATTCTTTTTCATATTCTTTTCCATTATGGTTTATCACAGGATATTAAATATAGTCCCGTGTGCTATACAGTAGGACCTTGTTGTTTATCCATCTTATATATACTAGTTTGCATCTGCTAACCCCAGGCTCCCAATTCTCCGACCCTCCCCCCCAACCCCTGGCAACACAGGTCTTAGAAAACAAGAAAGATTTTTATGCTGTCTTTTTTTTTTTTTCCACTTTTTTAGAAATCGAAACGAGTTGGCTGAGACCCTTGCACTCCTGAAAGCACAAATTGATCCTGTACTATTGAAAAACTCTAGCCAACAGGACAACTCTTCCCGGGAAAGTCCCAGCTTAGAGGATGAGGAGACTAAAAAGGAGGAAGAAACACCTAAACAAGGTTTTTTTTGTGTGTTTTGTTTTGCTTTGTTTTGTAATTTCTTCTCTTTTCTACTCCTCTTCCCAGCTATATAAATTGAAATTCCCTCAATTTGAAAATTTTTAACCCTTCCTGTAAAAGGAGGTACATTTTCCTTTTATTTAATGAAAAAAAAAAAAAGAAGCAGCGGCAAAAAACCATTGAGGACTTTGGTCTTTTATATTGAACATTTTAAAAATTTAAATTAAAAATGTTCATGTCATCAAAACATATCTGTTACTAATTTAAGAGTACAAGGTATTAGTGAACTTTTTAAAAATTATTGTGGTAAAATATACATAACAAAATTTTATCATTTTAACCATTTTTAAGTGTACAGTTCTATGGCATTAAGTTCATTTGTGTTGTGCAATTGTCACCACCATTCATCTCCAGACTTACCTTCCCCGACTGAAACTGTGTACTCATTAAACGCTAATTCCCCTTTCCTCCTCCCCTCAGCCCCAGGCATCCATCATTCTACTTTCTTTCTCTATGAATTTGATTAACTCTAGGAACCTTATTTCAGAGAAATCATGGCAGTATTTGTCCATTTGTGACTGTCTCATTTTCATTGAGCTTAATGTCTTCAGTGTTCATCCATATTGTCCAAGTATCAGAATTTTTCCTTTTTAAGGCTAATATTCCATTGTGTGTATCTACCACATTTTATGTATTCATCTGTCACTGGATGCTTGGGTTTCTTCTACCGTTTTTCTGTTGAGAATAATGCTGCTATGAAAGTAGATATCTGCTTTCACTTCTTTTGGGTATATACCTGAAGTAGAATTACTGGATCTGATGGTAGTTCTGTTTTTAATTTTTTGAGGCTCTGCTATACCATTTTCTACAGCCACTGCACCATTTTACATTCCTACCAATAATGCATAAGGGTTCCAATTTTTTCACAAGGTACACATCACTTGTCACTTTCTTTTCTTTTCTTTGTTTTAAAATAATAGCCATTCTAATGGATGTGAAGTGGTATCTGTGGTGTTTTTTTTGCGGTACGTGGGCCTCTCACTGCTGTGGCCTCTCTCGTTGCGGAGCACAGGCTCCGGACATGCAGGGTCAGCGGCCATGGCTCACGGGCCCAGCCACTCCGCGGCATGTGGGATCTTCCCAGACCAGGGCACAAACCCATATCCCCTGCATCGGCAGGCGGACTCTCAACCACTGCATCACCAGGGAAGCCCTATCTGTGGTTTTGATTTGCCGTTTCATAATGACTATAATGATGTTGAACACCTTTTCATGTACTTAGCCATTTGTATATCTTCTCTGGAAAAATATCTATTCAAGTTCTTTGCCAATTCTTTAATTGTTTGTGTGTGTGTGGTGTGGATTGGTTTTCTTTGTTTTGTTTTGGGTTGCCCTTAGCAAATCCTTAAGTCTCCAAGAATTATAATTATTAAACTTGATTTCCTGATTGAGTTTCCTAATATGCTTAACTGAGCAGATCAAATCGTAACCTCTTCAGAAGGACAGAACCAAGTCCTAACTTTTCTAGAAGCAGAGAAACCAACTGAAATTTTGTCTAACATCATTTTAGTTAATACTTTTTGTTGATAACATACCTTTTAATGACAGGGGAGAGAATTTGCTCTCCTTATTATGCTTTCTTCCTCTACTGTTAGTTTTCCTTTACTATTTTGATTAGAATCTGAAAGCAATATGTTTTTACCTTATTTGCTGCTTTGAGGGAATTAACCATAGTCATCCCCTAGCTTCAAGCACTGTATAAAAACAAGTAATTATGCCTTTTAATGTAGGCTATAATGTTCGTACATATTAAGCATTGCTTTTAGCAAAAATCCTGTTTACTGTCCTCCTTTGACCAGTGTTTATATGATTTCAAATATCTTTGGTGGTCTTACTCATAAGCCGTATTTCTGATTTGAAAAATTCTTTTCTATATCTTAAAATTCAGTTTGTAGCCTACATCAGTAAAACTTAATTTTAAAGTACTCTAAACCCACTATTGAATTTTAAGATGTTTAAATTGAAGTATAATTGACATATAACATTATTATTCATTTCAGGGGTACAACATAATGATTTGACATTGTATGCCTTGTGAAATGATCACCACAATAAATTTAGTAATTATCTGTCTCCATACAAAGTTACAAAAAACTTTTTCTTGTGATGAGAACCATTAAGATTTACTTTCTTAGCAATTTTCAAGTTTACTATATAATGTTATTGAATTTTCCAGATTTTTTTAGTAGTATCCCTAAGGATTAGTTCTGAGTTTAGACTTAATCTTCATTTGGTCATTCATTACTGTGTTTGCTTCTTCTCCAATGTATTTAAATCAAGACCAAAGAAGTCAAGGCAATAGAAATTTAAGAGGCAATTATTCCTATTAAGTGAACTTAAATTTTACACTGATTTTGAAGGGGGGGGGGTCATTGTATAGTTTAAATTAGAAAGAAAAACAAACTATTTCCTCAATAAAGTAAAGCTCTTTCTTGTATCTAATTCTAAAATTTCACTGTTGGGGGCCTTATGTTGGGGGGAATTTCAACAATAACACCAACTAACATTTATTGGGCCTGTCCTGCTTTTTTGCAGCCTACCAAATGCTTCATGTGCATTTTTATTTAATCCTCTTAATAAAAGGATTAGCAGCTCTTTGAGGTACTACTATTATTATTTCAGTTTTACAGATGAAGGAATTTGGAAGGTTATAAGCTTGCCCAAGTCATATAGATAATGTGTCAGAGTCTAGATTTGAACTCTGATTCTTGTAAAGCCTATGCCCTTAACTAGAGTGATCTAGAACTGTACTTCTCAAATTTTAATATGCATGATGTTTACCTAGTGATTTACCTGATTCACCATTTTTCAGAGGCCAAGTTGATGCTGCTGGTCAGAGGACCACAGTTTGAGTATCAAGGTTATAAATAGGCAGTCTTCTCCTAACCTTGAAAACAAATATGGTCATCCCTTGGTCTCTCTGGGGATTGCTCCCAGAACCTCTGCCGATACCAAAATCCAAGAAGGCTCAAGTCCCTTATATAAAATAGAATAGTATTTGCATACCACCTATGCACATGCTCCCGTGTACTTCATTTAAATCATCCATAGATTACTTATAATACCTAATACAATGTAAATGCTATGTGAATAGTTGCCTGTGTATGGCAAATTCAAATTTCGCTTTTTGGGACTTTCTGGATTTTTTTTTCTGAATATTTTCTATCTGAGGATGCAGAGGGCCAACTGGACAACAAAGGCTTTCATACAGCTGTTTCTGAAAATATTTCTCAGTGAATGCTGACGTTCTGACTCTCAGTACAATTAAAAGAAAGTCTGTAGGGCAGGACATCTCTTGGAAAAGCAAAGGAGGGGAGGAGCAAGACATTTAGTTCTCTGGTCTTTTTCTTTCTCTTAGATAGTGTCTCTTCTGTTTCTCTTATTCTAACAGCAAAATAATTCTTATTCATTCGACAGATACTTATTGTGCACCTACTATGTGCCAGGCATGATTTTAGGCATGGGAATTTAGTAAACGAGGCAGACTAAAATCCTTGCTTTTGTGAAGCTTACGTTGTAGTGGATAAAATAGCTGACACGTATATCATCACAATGTGCTAACACTGTTCTCAGTGCCTTACTTTTTTTTTTTTCTCAATCCAGATTTAGTTTGTCAGTAAGATGTTATTGATAACATGAGCTCTGTGGCCTAGTGATTGAGTTGACATTCCAGTTTTTGGTTTATAAGAGGAGCAGAACTTAACCAACAGTCAAGTTCTCAGGAGAAGGAGAAAAGCTTTTCTTAGCCCATGGAACATAGATGGCCTAGTCATGGTGTGATGCTAAGAAGCTTTGGTGGGGGGAGGGATTAAAACTTTTAATATCATTCAGGGAAGGATCTTTACCATATCAATTAATATTTCCCAAAGACTCCAATTTATTGGGTTGGTGATATAATGGAAACATTTTTGATATTGCAATTTATGAGTTGATTTATTCATTTTTTGTGAAATTGGTTCAATAGGAAATGTAGCAGTTAAGGGATAATCTGGTGCACTTTCCTTACATTTGGTATCTAGAAATGGATGTTATGGCCTGCATTCCAAAATAGGTTTTCTGAATTCAGTCTTTTTTTTTTTTAATTAATTAATTTATTTTTGGCTGCATTGGGTCTTCCTTGTTGTGCGTGAGCTTGCTTTAGTTGTGGCAAGCTGGGGCTACTCTTTGTTGCAGTGCACGGGCTTCTCATTGTGGTGGCTTGTCTTGTTACGGAGCACGGGCTCTAGGCGCGTGGCCTCAGTTGCTCCGCAGCATGTGGGATCTTCCCGGACCAGGGCTCAAACCTGTGTCCCCTGCATTGGCAGGCAGATCCTTAACCACTGTGCCACCAGGGAAGCCCTGAATTCAGTCTTAAGGAGAATAATTAATATTGTTTACTTTGCCTTCCTGAAGTAATATTGACAGAGTGGAGAGAATAGCTACAGGATAAATTACTGTAAACCAAACTAGTAAAACAAAGTTTACTAGTACAGTACTGAAAACTTAATGATGACCTTCAGTTACAAAAATTATGTGAATATCCTGCATGTAGATGCCCTATATATACAAAACCATTCTTTAAAATTCTATCAATTTGAAAATGCCTGATAGAATTTTATTTTTTTAATAAATTTGTTTATGATATTCACAACACTTTTTTTTTTTTCAAGATGTTGGGGGTAGGAGTTTATTAATTAATTTATTTATTTTTGCTGTGTTGGGTCTTTGTTTCTGTGCGAGGGCTTTCTCTAGTTGTGGCAAGCAGGGGCCACCCTTCATCACGGTGAGCAGGCCTCTCACTATCGCGGCCTCTCTTGTTGCGGAGCACAGGCTCTAGAGCACAGGCTCTAGAGCGCAGGCTCAGTAGTTGTGGCTCACGGGCCCAGTTGCTCCGCGGCATGTGGGATCCTCCCAGACCAGGGCTCAAACCTGTGTCCCCTGCATTAGCAGGCAGATTCTCA